GCAAGAAAAAGGTTTTTTTCTTCTCAAACTGATTTGATTATTATTAACCAATTAATTCTACATCAGAAAAAAATTATTTGGATTATGCTCGCATCTAAGAAATAGATAATCCAAATTATCCACTTTAGTGAAGTGAAAAGTTTCACCATAATTCTTCGGAGATGTCTCATTTGAAAACTGACTTTAATACGAGATGATTCCCCAAGTTTCAAATTTTTTGTCCATCAAGTGCCGAGGAATAGCTAGGGTTTGGAGAACCAGTTAACAGAAAACAGAAAAACAGCTGTTTTTCTACAAAAATCTGTAAACGGAGGTACTGTATGATTTAGTGTCAAAAAATATGGATAATTACACTATAAAAGTTCGAGAATGAAGAACTATATAGATTAATCGTGTACATATTGATTTTACCAACGAGTGCGCATATCGGTGCTACAGCTGCTCAAAGTTGGATAAAAAATTCAAACTTCAAAAAAATTTGCTCAAGAATATTGCGTGACTGAAGTACGACGGCATGAAGTGTCCAATCAATTTGAAACTTTACCAGAATTAAGTCCATATTACGTCCAGTTGCGTCCAACAAAAAAATAATTGTGTCCTACTTCCTGTGGCTGGATATAGCAGGTTCCATTTTTGGGAATTATGCCGTCGTACTTCAGGTTTTAAAACGGCATCATTTCCAAATATTAACTTTATTAGACATATTATACATCAAAATTGATCTCTTAATTACGTCCAATTGCGTCCTGCAAAAATTTTTGGAATCGGATATAACCAGCAAGAGTTATGGACTGTCAAAGTTTTGGACAGTACTACTTGTGGACCAATATTTTTTTGCCCAAATCCTATCATGCTATATATCAAAACACGTCTACTTTTCCTCAGCAGCTTAAATCTGATGGAATTATTTAAGTCCAATTCATTTTGGACCTATGGCAGTTCCAGTTCCATCTCGTACTTGAATATCACCAAGTGTTCAAAAGTTGACTAGCGGCATGTTGTATATCAAAAAATATCTTTTTTTTGTCAGTGTTTCTAATCTGACGGAATTATCTTAGTCCGACCTGTAGTTTTGGACATATGGCAGTTCCAGTGTATTCAAACCTGTACCTGCACATATCGAAAGTTTTACTATTACCTGTTTAATATATATTTTGACAGAGATTGTTATTACTTTATAATCTCAATTACAATCTTATAATTTTTTTTTCTGGAGTTTTCTAAAAAATTTCCGATATTTCTAGTCCTATTTTGTGATTTATTAACTCAGAAAGTAAAATAGTTATCAAAATAAAGTAAAAAGTATAAAAATTGCTAACATAGTGGAAAGTTTTTCAAATGGTTTTTGCAAGATAATTTTCTTATGGAAACTCGGAAAATCACTTTGAATGTAGAGAAAAATTAATATTTTTTTTGTAAATATCTTGTCAATTTCTTTGTTTTGATTGCTTAAAGCAACTTTAAACTGTTTATTACGATTGATTCTTACTAAATCAACAATAATTCAACCATGAAGTGTTAAGTTAAGACTAAAATTTAATTTTTATGAAATATTTGCTTTGCATTTTTTTCATGGATTTGCAAAATAAAAGCTTAATTTTTTTACTGTCAGCAAAAAAATCCACCGAAGAATCAAAAATTCTCTTTAAATAGTAATTATTGGAGTGTGATATGATTATGGTTAGATAGATTAGCTCTAAAACTACATTTCTGCATAATCATAATAAAAAATGAGTGTTTACTTTTCTTCAATTTTCAAATCTCTGGATGATTATTCCATTTTTTGCTGACAGTAATTTGCAGAAAAATTTAAAAAACTTAATTATTGGCTCCTTTCAAAGACTTAAATAGATAAAATATAATAGTTTTTGCCATTTTACATCGATTTAAATGTAAAAGTTATGCTTGATAATGGAAAATTTCCGAGAAAATTGGATTCTCCGGATGATTTTTTGAAAAACTTATCTGGAGAATTGCCCTTTTTGGAAAACTATGATAACATTTGAAATCTAAAGATGTAGTTTTGTAGCACATAACCTTAGCCATAATTTCCAAATTTGTTGATAAAGTAATAACAATCTCTGTCAAAATATATATTTGACAGGTAAAAGTAAAACTTTCGATACATACAGGTACAGGTTAAAATACACTGAAACTGCCATATGTCCAAAAATACAGGTTGGACTAAGATAATTCCGTCAGATTAGAAACACTGACAAAAAAAAGATATTTTTTGATATACAACATGCCGCTAGTCAACTTTTGAACACTTGGTGATATTCAAGTACGAGATGGAACTGGAACTGCCATAGGTCCAAAATGAATTGGACTTAAATAATTCCATCAGATTTAAGCTGCTGAGGAAAAGTAGACGTGTTTTGATATATAGCATGATAGGATTTGGGCAAAAAAATATTGGTCAACAAGTAGTACTTTCCAAAACTTTGACAGTCCATAACTCTTGCTGGTTATATCCGATTCCAAAAATTTTTGCAGGACGCAATTGGACGTAATTAAGAGATCAATTTTGATGTATAATATGTCTAATAAAGTTAATATTTGGAAATGATGCCGTTTTAAAACCTGAAGTACGACGGCATAATTCCCAAAAATGGAACCTGCTATATCCAGCCACAGGAAGTAGGACACAATTATTTTTTTGTTGGACGCAATTGGACGTAATATGGACTTAATTCTGGTAAAGTTTCAAATTGATTGGACACTTCATGCCGTCGTACTTCAGTCACACAGAATATTTACTCATAATTTCATTTTTTGCTAGGTACTTGAAATGTCTAATTTTGATTTCAATCAAACAAGCAAGTTAATCAGGTTTTTACATTTATTATTATTATCATTATTATTAGGGGTAAGGCTGCAAAGTGTAGTTGAGTGTAGCAAATTTTAGTTGATTAAAGTGTATTGGTTTTGTAAATTTAGAATAAACTCACATAAAAACTAATAGAAACTAGTGTATCGGGTAGAAACCCAATGCGGATATATAACTTTGAAGGTATAAAGCTTGATGAGTCATAAGTTTGAAAGTATAAAGCTTGTTAAGTCAGCTGAGTTGTACTTAGCATATGTTTGAATGTATAAGGCTAGCGAGTCAGCTGAGCTTTGCTCAGCATAAGCTTGAAGGTATAAAGCTAGCGATTCAGCTGATTTTTGCTCAGTTTAGAGATTTCTTCTGGGACCTTTTATAACCAATTTTGCTCCATTTTCTCAAAAAATTCGAAAAACTGATATTTCAATCTGAACACGTGAAAACGGTGTGAATATAATACAGAGGTCGAAGTCGATGAAGCAAACTCACTTCACTTCACTAAAATTTCAATCGGTTTTAAGTCAGCTCGAGTGAACTCATTTTTTTCGTATTCACTCGAGTCGACTTTTAACCGAGTTGATTTTTTCGTGTTCACTCGAGTCGACTTTTAACCGAGTTGATATTTTCGTGTTCACTTTAGTCGACTTGAAACCGACTTGATTTTTTCGTGTTCACTCGAGTCGACTTTTAACCGAGTTGATTTTTTCATGTTCACTTTAGTCGACTTGAAACCGACTAGAGTTCACTAAGGAAAAAAAAATATATTATAACAAACTGATTTCTGCTAGTGCTTGTGAAGTATATGTGATTACATACAAAATTGCAGAATTTGTCCTTTTTTACTTCTCATAACCATAAAGCAAACTAAACGAATTAGTTTAAAATATTTTTTAGATTTCATATATTTTATAAATGTTTTGCACTATAGATTATTTTTCTGATTTGAAATTATTTATTACGAACTGCTACAATTATGAATGAAATTTATTTTAATTCACACCATATTTCCAATTTTGGTAAATATATTTTAATTTCAGATTTATTTGTTTGATCTCTGGAAAAAGGATACAAAAATTGTGCTGCATAAAACATTTAAATTTAATCTTCAAGAATAATAAAATAAATTTAGATCTGTAACACTTTTTTCTTATTTATAGAGTTAAATTTCTTCAACGTACAAACATAAATAATGAAAAAAAAATTAAAACTTGAATTATAATAAACTGGAAGTTTGAAAAATATTTTAAATTAATTCGTTTAGTTTGCTATATGGTTATGAAAAGTAAAAAAGGACAAATTCTGCAATTTTGTATGTAATCACATATACTTCACAAGCACTAGCAGAAATCAGTTTGTTATAATATATTTTTTTTTCCTTAGTGAACTCTAGTCGGTTTCAAGTCGACTAAAGTGAACATGAAAAAATCAACTCGGTTAAAAGTCGACTCGAGTGAACACGAAAAAATCAAGTCGGTTTCAAGTCGACTAAAGTGAACACGAAAATATCAACTCGGTTAAAAGTCGACTCGAGTGAACACGAAAAAATCAACTCGGTTAAAAGTCGACTCGAGTGAATACGAAAAAAATGAGTTCACTCGAGCTGACTTAAAACCGATTGAAATTTTAGTGAAGTGAAGTGAAGTGAAACGACTTCACTTCACCAACTTCGACCTCTGATATAATATTAAACATCATATAAATTCGGAAATGATTAATATTGATGAAACGAAAGAAAGTAATCAGTAGAATGTAATAATTTTGTAGATAGTATGATTCGTAATCACTTTGATACAACAAACTTCAGAAAGCTTTTTATATCTCACAGAGTCGTCAAAAATATGTAAGAAGGCTTACATACATATATACATGTATACAAATTTTGCCACACATTAGTAATATAAAAGCCTTCATTTGTCTCTTTATTATATTTAAATGAGTATATAAAACAAAAACTTTTATAAACAAATAACATATCCTTTGATAGAAACTTCCATTTCAAATATGGTAAAGTAACACAGAAAGCAATATCAATCATATTTTAAATCCTTTAAATATTAATTTTTCATGATTAATGTAAATGAGTAATAAAAAACAACAAGTGGGGAAAGAAGAAATCACATGAATTTTTTAAAAAAAAAACTTCATCACCATTTATTTGGTAGATCAAGTTAAACTACCAATTTATTTTATTCATGAATAAACTTCTTTACATGATAATATTTAAAAATTTAATCTTTATCTGTTTATAGCTTCAAGCAATTTTTAATTTGTGCTCTCTGAACTCATTAAACTTTGCTTAATCCAATTAAGTGAGAAAACCAAATATAATTATGGAGAGATACCAAACTACTATAGATGAAGTTGACAATGATGTGCTACTATGAAAATCGTTAAGAAAATCTTGAATATCACTTGAATAAGTCTTGAGCCATTGCAAATTGCCGCTAACAATAGTATGAATCTCTTCGTTTACATCCTTATTTACGTTGTATATTACAAGCAAATCAGAAAGTGTTGCTGATAAACTGTTATCATTGATTCTGTGCGCAATGTCTCGTAAAATTTCATTCATCGATGACAAGGAGTTCAGTTCATGCAATCTGAATTAAATATGACTATTATTGATTGAATAACATGATTATAGAATAAATAGAGTGCAAAAATCAATGATAATATATATGTAGATGAGGATAACGATGCATAAAAAAGAAAATGGGGAGCAATTTGAGGAAATAATAAAAATTCTATGCACTTACAATTCAATAAAAGCATCATAGTGTTGTCGAAGAAAATGAAGAGTTACTCTCAAACCAACTAAGTTGTTTGAATAGGTAGCTTTCAAAATGGTTTTCCATTCATTATTTAAAACATAATCGATATCATTACTTTCAATTATCATCAAAATAAATTTCATTAATATTAACTCGTCTTCTATACATCCCATTGAATTTAAATAGAGATTACGTCTCGCGGGATCTTTAGTATTTTTGAAAATCTTCCATATAAAATCAAACTCGTGCTCAGTTATCATTATTAAGCCTTTACAGAATATTACATATTCGTGATCAACTGATAAACTAAAATTTCTTTCATCTAACATATATTTCCATAACTTTTCCCGTGTTGCATCTAAACATGATTGTAAATGCACGCCACAACTCCATGAAATAGCAATATTTCGAATATGTTTATGATATTGTGGCTCTTCTGGCTTCTCTTCAATGCCGTAAGTCGAATAAACTTTAAAAAAAAGTTTTTGTAAAAATCTCTGAAAAATGATTAGAAATTTTATGGATTATTTTTAAATTTTCTTCAAATTCTCTCGAATAAGATTAGTTGCAAAGGATTGTTTTAATAGCTCAGTTTCAAAAAGTTTAACCTGGACAGTTAAAAGTCTTGAAACAGTGTATTTATGGGTGATTTCCAATTTAATAATTCTTATCGATGTAAAAATCTAAAATAAATAAAACTTTCGACATCATATACTTTTAATCGCTGTAATAATTAATTTTTTTGGATTCTTTAGTCAATAACTCGATGACAAAAAAAAGGAATTCATCATCCGAAAAAACGATAATTAATGAAATATTTCTTTGAAATTTTATTAATTTAGTATGAAGTATTAAATTATAGTAATTCAGCCTACAAAGTTAAAAATTTGGCTCTGAAAGTGAAAATTCCAAGAAAGTTGAAATATCTCATTAATTAAAGCATAACAACACATAAGAACTTTTAATTGATATTATTAAAATATTTTACTTTTAAAACTTTTAAGCTAATTTTGAATATTTTTAAATGAAAGCAAACTATTTTAGATGGTTCAAAAAACATTTCTGCTTTAAATTAACAAAACATTAAAAGTAAGAAGAAACATAGAAGCCGTTCGCTTATTACGTTACGCAAGAAAACGACTTTTTTCACCCTCCCTTGTTACAATATGTTAAAACTCACAACCCCCCCCCCCCCCCTGAACGTTCATAATTTATTTTATTTTGATAATTTTTTATTCTAAAAAGACGGTTAAATTTTTTTCGTATTTTTTTTCTTAAACATCAAAATACTGTACAGCTAAATAGGTCATGTTTACTATGTAGTATGTAATACTACTATTAGTATTCTCATGAATTATTGGATTGAGATATAAAGCAAAAATTTGTTTTTTTTTTGAAGAAAATTCAAAAATATTATGCTCGATCGAATTTTGGAAAATTCAATCAACTTTGAATGTAAATATCACAATGATGGGATCATATTAATCATCATATGAATGCCAGATTTAGAGAGATTTATTTTTAAACTTATGATTGATTAAATTTTGAAAATTTCCACAAATTATGATTGTATTTTAAAGTCTTGTAAACCAGTTTTCTACAGTTTTCTATTGATTTGTTACTTTATATAACAAAAACTATGTATTCCTTAGCTATCAAAAGAGATATGGACATTTAGAAATCATTAAAAAGGTGAAAATTTAAAAAAAATGTTTTTGGTGTGAATTTGTAAACAATTTTTTTTTCGTGAACTTTTTTTTTAAAAGACAGACGACAGTTTGAACGTTACATACTTCTTGACACAAATCCCCCCTCGTCCCTAAAATGCCCCTAGATGCCAATCATATTGGAATATCAAAAATAATTTTAATTAAGGAAAAATTTGTAATTTCGTATTTCGAATGTTTTTGAACACAAATTTTTTCTTATCAAAACACTCGAAATTGTGCGGGAAATTTCAAATTTCCTTAAAAATACCGGAAATTTTTCTCGTTGTCTTGTATTTGGCCAATTCCATGTCTTTAATGTAGTTAAATCGCCCATTTTGTGCTATATTGGTTCAAATTTTTTCGAATTTAACTCAAGAATGCTATTCGACACCCATAGCTTTGAATAAGTGTTTTTATATAAGTTAGCTGGCATACTTAATACGTTCTTTGCCTAATGTATAAGATATACAAGAATGAAAAATTTGCTAAAAGACGCTGAAATCGTTAATTACCTTAAAATCATCCGATAACTTTGAATTTCCATTCATGATCATTAATCGCATATACTGTAAGCTTCTTGTGGCAACAAGCCATGGTATATATTCGATCTATAAAAATCGCAAAAAGATTGATTACTAAAAACATTTTAAAAGAGTTAAGAAAAAAAAATATGAAAATGTTTTTGTTTCGTTTGAAAACATAATTGTGCTACTGCTCCCATTGGCATAATAAAACATATTTATCTTTCATTCTCACATCATGTTCAAGATGCTTCATCAATTCCAAAAATATTCTGGCTCGAAGCATATTTCTTGTAAGAAATATTGAAGCATCATTCATCAGCATTGCACGGCTAATAGGAGATATATTTGAAGAAGGGTCCATACGGGATAATTCTTTTGAAATAAGCATCCAATTAGCTTCATCGTACTGTACACGATAATAGCCCATCCGCTCAACATTCACAAGAAGATAAGAGCTTGGAAGTAAGCCGTCAATTAAAATATCAAATGTTTTCTTCTTTTGAAGCCAAATTTTTGGTTGCAAACTGGATTTAGAATGAGCTTTTGAAGTATACGTAATAGGTATAAACCACAAAAAATTTGAATATCTTTTTGACGACATTGTAAAAGGTTTCTATTAAAAAATGTAACGAAAAAAATCAGGTGAAGTTATTTTTAAAATAGTTAAAAGGTGGTCATTTAAGACCGACCGAAGCGCATTTTCGCAGCACAGAATTCGAGTAGAAAGTTATAACTAAAAATGTTTAAAAACCTTTCCATTCAAATCAATTTTAATGGCTTCAGCATCACTGCTAACGGGAGTTTAACGTGGGTGTGAAGTACGGCCGAGACCCATATCGACACAGTTCAAAAGTTATACCTAATTTATGTCATAATTATGTCAGCTACAAAAACACTTAGTTTGAATTTTGTCACCCTCGGGAACACTATGAACCAGTATAGCTGATTTTGGCCATACTTCACACTTATTTGAACCACATTTTCTCGTAAATGTTAAAATATTATTAAAAAGTAATTAATTATGAATTATGTCGCCATTTTGTCAAGTGCTTTAAGATAAAGAATTTTTTTTTGGTTTCCACTGTGAAGAGTATGAACAAAATTCAGTTGGGGTAGTCGAAATTTTTGCTTTCGATTTTTTTAAGCTATGGATTACAAAAAATAACATTGGTATGTGATTTATGTCAGAATTATGTCAATTCAAATAAAACATACAAAAAATTTTTTGACCAAAGTACGTCATAGAAAATCAATTTTCAATTTTGGACTAGGGGCGACCCTAGTCAAAATCAATTTCGTCACTTTTTTCTTTGAGGGTTTATCCAAATGGATTGAAACATTGCATAAATATTCTAATGCTTAAAACAAATACAAATAAAACATCCTAAAATATTTTTGAGCAAAGAACCAAGTAGTAAATACATTTTCAATTTTGGACTAGGGGCGACCCGGAAAGAGTGAGTTAAATAAAAGCGTGTAATAATAACGTCTAACGTGTAATAATAATAAAATAATAAAATAATTAAAATAATTGCCTCTGGTGATGCTTAAACCAGTGACCTAAGGAATGTAAGAATAGTCATATTTTTAAGGGCTCCGCAAAAAAGTACGTACGTAAAACGTTAGTCAAAATTTTAGATCAATCTGATTTTTTTCACCAAATCTAGCCAGACACTGCATACATATTACAAAAACCGCATCAAAAAGACCTAAACTGGAGAAGGAGAAAGATGGATAGACAGACGGAAGCACAGACAAATTGCGGACAAAAGCGTCATATTTGATAGGAAAATGCGCTAATAACTACTTAATAAAATAGAACTTTAATTTACTTGAGTAAAACTAACACGATGATTATTATAGCTTCTTTCGACAAATAATATTGGATATCCTTCTTGATTCTCCCAGCAACTAAACAATTCTTCAACTTTATAGCCTCCCAAAGCAGTATTGTCTTCGTTGGCTGCAAGCTGCCAAGCATCATAAATATCTTGCTGAAATGTTACGCCCAAGGAATTTAACGTGAATTTACTTAAGTAGATTTTAAGGCCTTTGGTAAATGTTGTCTCTGATAGTGAATGAAAAAACATTCGGAGAACGCTTGCAGCTAAAACAGAAAAATTTATGAGCATCAAGGTTGCAATAATGTTGCTTTTTTCACTTGGTGTCTGTTTCTTCACAGTTATTTACATTTATTGTAAGTTATTGTATCAAATAACTTTCTGACACCACCCGGTGACTCCTCATAATGTGATAAAGAATGGGTTGCTGACAATGAATCGTAAACCAAAGCATTCTCCATTATTTCTACAGAAAACAATCCTTCTAAGACCATTTCGGGATAAATTTTTGATGCAATAAAGTATTCATAAAATCTAAGAACCACAAATTTTTTACTTATTACTTAACTTTTTTTTATATTCACACCGTATTCACGTGTGAATGTATTGTTTTTATTTAGATTGATTAATCAGTTATTCGAATTACAAGATAGCTTCACATGTTTAAAGATGAAAAGTATGTGCCTGAATTATCACATCTTTTGCAAAAAAAAAAAACAGATTTCTAATTAGTTGTGGCATTGCTCAGAAAATCGCAAAATACGCTTTTTGTTAACAAGCAAACAAGCAAGTTAATCAGAAATAAAATTCTAAAACAAGACATCGTAAATACTTCTAGTTTCTTTTGCATTTAATAGGTGCTGCTTTATTAAAGGGCTGTATTGTTTTTGGGCAAGGCAGGAACAGCAGCAAATTTTATTTTGGATCAGAACTCGAAGTCGATGAAATTTTGTATGAATTCGAGTCTACTTGGAGTCAACTCCGCCATACAAAATCGATGTAAATCTCGAGTTGACTTTGAGCTTTGCTTTGGTTGTTTTTTTTTAAAAGTCGCAAAATTAGGTACGGTGTGAATATATCCGCATTGTGTTTCTACCCGATAAACAAGTTCACATGTCAATTTATTGTTATCATAACAAGAAATCACATTTTCGAAAATCTAATAATAAATAAATAAACAACAGACCTGCATAATCCCTCAAAAAGCCATTGAGTTGACCACCAAGAAGGTGTAAGGCGATTATCTAATGGAAATCAAATACAATTAAATGTATTTATCTCAAAAATATCAAACAGAAAATGTTATACTCTACCCAATACTTGATGACAGACCTTTTTCAGGAAAGAAAAAAAAAAAGAAAAGATAAGAGCTTTTTGTTTCTTTAATATTTTATGCTGCGTAACTCACATTGTTAACTATAGATAAAACGGCTGATTCTTTCTCTTTTATTGAATTAATCTATTGTAACAAAAAAAAAACATGAAATAAATAATTCTTTATCATGAGTTACACATTCATGTGATTTACGCTGGGTTCGTTTTATTAACAAAAAATTAATGGTTTCAAAATCATGTTTATTTGTTTTTGTTATAATAAAGCAAAAAAAGCTTCTGAAATTAAATTTTACCATTTATTTTTATGTTTAATTAATTTCAAAATATCGATAGGTCACTTTACTAAAGTCGATAAGTTACTTGATTTTATAATGTCGAATAAAATTTTTAACACAACTTATGGTAAATATACGACAGATTTCAGAATTGACAAATATATTCGGCCCCGAAGTTTTTAAGGTTTTTTGCTTAACGCGCAACGGCAAAAAATAATTTAAATTTTTCACTAACACTATCTTACAAAACATCAAAAATTAATTTCTCAAAAAATTATTCAATCATTAATCCCAAATATTATGATTTGAATACGAAAAGTGGATGATACATTAGCTTCTTTGGCTATTTTAAGAGCTTTTTTTTATAATTATTAAATGATATTTTCGTGAATGACACTTAATTAAAGTGATTTTCCGAAATAACTGCTTCACTTTAGGAAGTGAGTTGTATGTCAAAAGATAGAGATTTTTGTTTCCTTCAAGATAAAATATTTTTGAAATTATTAACCACTATTGTGGTTTTGGAGATATTTAAGAAACCATAGCGTCACTAGGAAATAATTTTTTTTTGCTGCGGGGCCCTATTGTAATGATACACTTTGTTTGTCAGATTCAATTATTAAGTCATTTCATTTTGTCTCATTCAGAACGTAAACAGTTTAAATTTATTTTGCCTGTTTCAATATAGAGGATTTAGGATAATCAACTTCACTATTTTGGAAAGATTTCTAAGTCTTTGTTAAGTTACAATAGTTAAGGGCAATTTTTTGGATGAGTTGAATTCATCAAAAATGAGTTATAATTCTTCTTGAACTTGAAATATTAAATTTTTTTATTATTGGAATTTAACTTGACTTACACTTTACAAAAAAAAACCAAATTAAAAACGTTTTTTTCGACTACTTTTTCATAAAATATTCTAATCAAAGAAAATGTTGTTAATTAAAGTGGATTAAAGTAAAATTTTAAACAGAGGGCGAAGTCGACTCGGATTTTGTATGGAAAAGTCGACTTGAGTTCACTCGACTTCATACAAATTTCGAGTCGACTTCGCCCTCTGATTTTAAAATTACCAAATACCTAGATATTTGGGTTTTATTTTAGTGGGTATTTTGTGGAGTTGTCAAAAGTTCAAAAAACGTGATATTAGGGTCATTTGTGATACAATAACTTACACGCTATGTATTAAAGTAAAATAAAATTTACTTACTGTAGGCTCATACAAAAAACAGTTTTCTCGATAAAATGCGATTCCATAACTTGCAACGTTACATTGGTTGAATAAAGGTAATGCAACTTGATCTAGCTTATAAAGCTCATATTGAATTTCAAAAGAAAAATTATTTTCAAACATATACAGTGCTTGTTCAGTCGTTTCTAATCCAAACTCGGTATTTTGAATTTCTATTTGATTTGAAAATGTACGGAGTAAAATATTATTGGTTGTTCTGTATTCTGTTGCATTGAAATCAAATATGACAAATGCGATGAGATAAGTTGGCATGTAACGAGTGTGATTAAAAACCGTTATTCTTCGTCCATAGTGGTCTCTTTAAAGAAAGAATTAAAAATTATAAACCATTATGACAATCATATATGAAATTGCATTTAAAAAGTATAATAAGAGCAGGGGGAAATTTACTCAAAAAAAATTATATATTACTTCATTTTCATTTCTCAAAAGTTCTCATTTTGGGAATTATTTCTGATTTTTTTTTTATTTAGAAATTGTTTAAAGAAATTAAACTTATTAAGGAAAAAAAAATCAGATTAAGTTATAAAAATAAATTGATTACTTACTCCAGAGCTGCGAAACAAGCACCTGTGACAGGTGAGAACCCTACAATTCCTTGATAATTTATAAGGGGCCATTCACTTATTACGTAACGCTTTTAGGGGGAAGGGGGGTCTAATATTTTGTTACGATTCAAACAAGGAAATTTTTTTTTCATACAAATTTTGTTACGAGGGGGGGGGGGGGTCTAAGAAGTCATTTTTTCGCGTTACGTAATAAGTGAACAGCCCCTAAGGTTTTTCTAACAAAACCATACAAATTATCAAGGAATTGAAAGGTTTTCACCTGTCACAGGTGACCTGTTTCGCAACTCTGACTTACTCGATAGATTCTTGTTCTTCAATATTAGATATTGTCTTTTGCTGTGCGGTGTGGTTTAATGAAATTATAAACTTAGCCTTGAATCTTGGTTCATCATACGATGGAAATACCCTTCTAGCAAAATTTGGTTTCATCTGAGTAGCAATATAATAACTAAAATTAAAGAGAATGTGAAACAAAATTTAAATTATAAAATAATTAGCATGTAAGAGGAAATTAAACAATCACCTTAAATCACCATTTGGCTTTTTAAAAGTTGTACGGAAAACCCCTTCATTTATTGTACTAATATATCCAATGTAGCTGATTGTTAGCCACAAAATCGAATCTTTTAGTAATATTTCTTCAGTTGTTTTAATCAATAAAAATTCTCGCTCCACATCAATATCATGAGTATGGGCAACAGCTGCGCCATGCATATAAGATTTCGTTAAGGATGTGTTTAATATTAATACAGAACTATGAAGTGTTATCACATTTGTACTCTCGAGGACATTGATCTTTATGTAGACGCTACCTAAGAAGCTCACTTCATCTCGGAATGTAAGTCCAATTGAATATATTTGAGGAATTGTAGTGTTAGGCAATCGATATGATGTAACATCCTCACCAATTCCACTATATTTTTGAATACTCTTAGCATTTAGATTGAAATTTTCAAATGACCCTACGACTAAAGTTTCTATTGTTAGATAAACAAACAGTATTAAAACCTTCCACATTGTGTTTTGCCCACTTGAGAACACTGACGTTGTTTTATTTGAAAAATCGAAAACTTATGACTGAAATGGAAAAAAAAAATTGTTTCCAAATAATTCTTATCAGTAAATGGTAAAAAATTACCTAAGAACAGAGAAATGTACTATATTGTTTTTTTTATTTGATATCTTGTTAATTGTCACATGCCGAAACGATTTAAAATATTTATTTATTTACTGATTTGATGTTTTGATGAATAATGTAAATACAATAATGAATTATGCAATCACATTCACACTTTCCACCTCTGAGTATTAAAATTTCTGCTTGGAAAAGTTTTTGGTGCGATTTTGTGTGATTCGCAACATGCAAATTGTGACGAGGTACTTTGCTTTGATATACCCTGGGTCATGCAATTGTGCAGTTACAGGAATCAATAATTAATTAAGGACATAATCTGTATGTAAAGACAAGAAGTCAATCTATAAAAAGATGAGAATATCTGCTGCTTAAACTCTTAAAATATGTTATTTATATTATTATTTTTTTAATTTGAGCAAATCTCTTCCGTCATTTCCTTGTTTCTCGTTCTTTCTAGCATACACCGAAATTTTCTGTGTATGTATACATCTTAAAACCTCTTTACTTAGTCACAGAAAATCCTTCATAATACTCCTTTTGTTTTTGCTTTAATTATTCAACGTTAATTTTCTCCGTCTCCTTTTTTATCTAGTAACATTGTCTTTGAGAAACTCATTATGAATATCTCTCTCTATATAAATATATATATATATATATATATATATATATATATATATATATATATATATATACAGTAGCGTGCAAAAGTGAGTGGACAGAACAAATTTTTTAATAATTTCGTTCAAAAAGTATCTTCCACTAAACGAAATCACTTCAAATTTTCACAGCATATCTAATTTTTGATGAGATTTCATATGCAAAACAAATTTTGTACTATAATTAAGTAATTTGAAAAAACCGTTAAATATTCAAAATCGATAACGTGCAAAAGTGTGTGGACAATTTTCAATGACAAAAAAATGTGTAAATAAGTATGTTATGGTAACTTTTTAAAATGGAAATCTAAAGTTTTGACCACCAAAACAACGTGTTTTCTTGATTTTTCTTAAATTCAAAATGGCTACTATTTTTAATGACTTTTAAGCAAATATGTCATTTAATTCAATCTTAATTAACTTAGACTTAACTGATTTATATAGTAATTTAATAAGCTTTCAGAATATACATAGTTTATTACAGGGGCGTAGCCAGAAAATTTTTAAGGGGGGGGGGCCCATTTTCGAAAATTAAAAAACCGTTATTTTGAATCCTTAAATCTATATTCATTCTTCATAAGTTTAAATATTGAATTCATTATTCATACATTAAATTTAATTTTTCGTGCTGATTTTGAAATTTCTTTCATCATTTCCTCTACATTAACTGGTTCTTCTCTATAAATACTTAATAAAACAATTATCAGATTTTCGTAGGGGGGGCCCGGGCCCCCTATGGCCCCTTCCCTGGCTACGCCCCTGGTTTATTATAGTAAAAGTTGATATTATGCAAAACAATTGTAGAATTTTTTTTTTCATTGTCGATTTTCTCACAGTCCAAAACATTAAATTGAGAAAATCTTGATAAATACTTTGCATATATAAGATTTTTTGGTATCATTTTATTGCATTTTATTTGTACAACATTATATAAGTAATTTCAGTTTGGTTAAAAAAATTGTCCATCAAGTAACAAGCTGTCAAATAGAATGTCAATTGAGCTTCTCAAAAAATGAAAAATAAATTTTTGAAAAATTTGTTTAAAATGAATATCTGTTGCAGAAAGTAATTTTTAAATGTTAAATTTTAACAAAATTATGCGTTACGAATGAAAACGTATAAAGTTTTCAAGACAGAAAGTTAATTTTGCAAAAAATTTATTTTTCATTGTTTGAGACGCTCAATTGACATACTATTTGACAGCTTGTTCCTTCATGGATAATTTTTTTAGCAAACAGAAATTACTTATATAATGTTGTACAAATAAAATGCAATAAAATGATACCAAAAAATCTTATATATGCAAAGTATTTATCAAGATTTTCTCAATTTAATGTTCTGGACTGTGAGAAAATCGACAATGAAAAAAATATTTCTATAATTTTTTTGCATAATATCAACTTTTACTATAATAAACTATGTATATTCTGAAAGCTTATTAAAAATACTATATAAATCAGTTAAGTCTAAGTTAATTAAGATTGAATTAAATGACATATTTGCTTAAAAGTCATTAAAAATAGTAGCCATTTTGAATTTAAGAAAAATCGAGAAAACACGTGGTTTTGGTGGAAAATTTTTGAACGTAAATTAAGAAAATCGTCAATACTTTTGATTTCCATCTTAAAATTTTACTATAACATACTTATTAACAAATTTTTTTGTCATTGAAAGTTGTCCCCTCACTTTTGCACGTTATCGATTTTGAATATTTAACGGTTTTTTCAAATTACTTAATTATAGTATAAAATTTGTTTTTCATATGAAATCTTATCAAAAATTAGATATAAGGTGCGCGCAGTTCGTTTAGACGCACTTAATTTTTTTCAAATTTTCCTTTAATAAACACTATTAAGACAAAAACTATTTTATGTGTTTATAGCTATGACCAATTAGGTTATAAATATAATAAAAGTATCTGACTAAATGCTTTGCTTAAGTAATTAAAATAATTTTTTCAAAAATTACAACAACAAAGTGCGCAGTTCGTTTAGACGCACTTTGAAAAATCTAAAATTTTGTCTTATTTACGTTTCGTAGAAAACTTAATCGTTTCTAATATTAATCTATCAACAAAACCGAGTAATTACTGAGGGTTTTAGAATTTTCCATCAAGTTTTTCCAGAGATTTTCCTTCATTAAAGTTTTCATGTTGCAAAAATTTTGATAAATTATTTATCCAATAATTTTGCGTTAAATTATTATTCTTTTAACTGATTTCCATAGATAATTGTCCATAATATTAGAAAATTAACAGATATTTAAGCTTTCTTCTAAGTATAAGGCGAAAATATGTGAAAAATATAATTATGGTGAAAAATTTCCACCACTCTCATAGATTAATCAACAAATTTTGACAAAACTGTAGATACCATAATAAATTTGAATAGACCAGCTTATTTATCGTATTAAACTTAGTTAAAAACAGAAAACTGCACAGCTCTATGGCTAATGGAACTTGAAAATTTTACTGAAAAATTAAGTTGTGGTGAAAAAATTCACCATAGAAAAATAAAATTTTAAAAAAACTATGTCTAAGGTTTTAATTCATGTTTTAAATTGATTAATTTTGAGACAGAAACACTTTTACAACCTAATTTAAATGAAACAATTGCCTAAAACAACGTTTTTTAAAATTTTATTTTTCTATGGTGAAATTTTTTCACCACAACTTAATTTATCAGTAAAATTTTCAAGTTCCATTAGCCATAGAGCTGTGCAGTTTTCTGTTTTTAACTAAGTTTAATACGATAAATAAGCTGGTCTATTCAAATTTATTATGGTATCTACAGTTTTGTCAAAATTTGTTGATTAATCTATGAGAGTGGTGGAAATTTTTCACCATAATTATATTTTTCACATATTTTCGCCTTATACTTAGAAGAAAGCTTAAATATCTGTTAATTTTCTAATATTATGGACAATTATCTATGGAAATCAGTTAAAAGAATAATAATTTAACGCAAAATTATTGGATAAATAATTTATCAAAATTTTTGCAACATGAAAACTTTAATGAAGGAAAATCTCTGGAAAAACTTGATGGAAAATTCTAAAACCCTCAGTAATTACTCGGTTTTGTTGATAGATTAATATTAGAAACGATTAAGTTTTCTACGAAACGTAAATAAGACAAAATTTTAGATTTTTCAAAGTGCGTCTAAACGAACTGCGCACTTTGTTGTTGTAATTTTTGAAAAAATTATTTTAATTACTTAAGCAAAGCATTTAGTCAGATACTTTTATTATATTTATAACCTAATTGGTCACAGCTATAAACACATAAAATAGTTTTTGTCTTAATAGTGTTTATTAAAGGAAAATTTGAAAAAAATTAAGTGCGTCTAAACGAATTGCGCGCACCTTACTGCAAAAATTTGAAGTGATTTCGTTCAGTGGAAGATACCTTTTGAACGAAATTATTAAAAAATTTGTTCTGTCCACTCACTTTTGCACGCTACTGTATATATACTTATAGGCGATTCTCTACAGGGTAGAATGCGAATATTTTCTTGCTAAAATATTTCAATTCTTCGGTCCGTTACTTTGCGACAAAAATTGAAATTTTGTAAAAGTTCAAAAGTTTTACATCAAACCTTTATATTTGCAGCATTAAATATGTACTTTATCATAGATTAAGTTCTGATATTAACTTTATGTCAAAAGAATCGCAAGAGCTTAAATATTCCAAATTTAAAAACAGTAGAGATATTTAAACATTATTTGAAAATATTTAGAATAAGAATTTTTTTTATTAAACTTACGTTTTCTGAGATTTGAACCATTGTATTTTAATAAAAAAAAATATTTCTTAATTTTCTTATAAAATATTTATATTTCACAAGAGGAAACAGAAATCAGGCAATAGAATTTAAAAAAATTGCTTATCGACATGTGCCTGTTAACGGGACTTCCTTTGGCTGATCACAACTGTGCTCAAAACAATAAAACAATTCTTAGTTGCCGTTTTTTTTTATTTTGCCTCATAGTGGCAATATTCTACCGTCCATGTTCTACTAGCAGAATGATTAGAAATGCCGTTAAATTCGATACATTCGGGTTTTCATAAATTGTGTTATATTTAAAGTTCTTACTATCGGTGAAATGGCATTAGTGGCCTAAATGGTTGAACGTTGGCTTTCTGTGCCAAAGGTCCTGGGTTCAATCCCCGCCCATGTCTAATTTTCGAAGCTCTTTTTCCATTTCACCGTTCTAGTTACGAAGCTCGGTTCGTGTGTTGGGTGTAGTTTTGAGGTCTTTGGCACAGAA